CTTTTATGGATTGCGATGATATTTGGTGTGCTGGTAAGTCTTGGAAAGACAAAGGTCAAGGTCAAATATGGGCCTCCTGGTGGATGACCTTGGTACTGCAGCAGAACTTCCGGTTTTTGTATCTTTTGTCCTGAACAAGCTATGGTCTTGACTTTTTGGTGATAGATAGCTTATCCTGTCAGCAATAAGTGGCGTAAGTTTGGTCCCCCTAGCAGCTTGTTCTGGAACTGCAGGGGACTTTCTGGCGAAACCTTTAAAAGCCAATAAGTCCATATAGGGACAACGTATTTTCATGATATTTGATGTGTAGGTAGCTGAGAGAGAGTTGTACATGATTAAATGCAAATTATGCAAATGAGGACTTTATTTGCATAATTAATGAGGAAATTCTATGATTACAGTGTGTTACATTATACTACTTTCATACATGTAATGTATGTAACCTATGGCAGGCAGAACATCAACAGATACTAATTATGCAAATTATGACGTAATTTGCATAATTTATTCAAGAATTCTATGATTTCTTAATGGTGAATAATGGACATGTCATACTTGGGACATCTGTAAGTTAATCAAAAGTTAACATTCATCACGATGCATATATCATGTTAATGCGGAGGTAATTTGCATAATTAAAGAGGAAATGTACATTTACATATCAAGCCCAAATTTCATGGAGGTATGAAATCTCGGAATTCTTGTTTCGAGCTGCACTGGATTTGGTATCTCGCTTTGTGAGAAAAGGTGATCACAGACAAAATTACGTATACCTTACATGTAATGAAGCATGCATTAAAGATATGTGTTCCCTGTGTTTCCCACCTGCCCTGGTCCCCGAGTGAGTCCGAGACTCCGAGTCAACGTCGGCCAGCTTGCATTTTTTCAGTCTGCCCAGTTTTACCGATAGATTTTGAGAGGGGGGCGCTGGAGGCGCTCGTAATCTAGGGGGGGTCCGGGGGAATGCTCCCCCGGGAAATTTTCAAAAACGCAATTTCCCGCATTTTGAGAGGCAAATCATGGTGTTGAGAGTGTTTGTCCGCCCTTCTGATGTTTTCATATTTTACTCAAGTTTTTTGTTAATTTGCCTGTCAAGGTTGACGGATTCGTTAAAAAAAATTCTGTAACTCTCCGCAAACTTCCGGAAATTAAAGGGAAAACTGGCTAGAGCCGAAGAGACCAAGCGCAGAAGCGCGAGTCGAGCGCCAAAGGCGCGAGCAATGTAAGGGGTCCGGGGGCATTCTCCCCCGGGAAATTTTGTATTTTTAAACCTTCAATGACGCATTTTCCTGCACTTTGAAAGGCAAAATTAGGCGTAACGAAGAATTATTCATTAACGCTTAACGCTGAATTTAGGATGACAAATAACGTTTTACGTTGAATTAAAACGACCCATAACGCTTCACGATGAATATACTGACAACGCTTAACGTTGAATTAGAGCGGGCCGGCAACGATTAACGGTGAATTAAAATAGCCCATAACGGTTAACGAAAAAGGGCATGCAGACCCTCATTTATGGAACTTCTCCCCTCCTTCCAAGAATCAAACGCCCCTTGGAAAACCACGCTAACACTATTAACACTATCCAGTCCCTCTTGCCCGCTCTTGGCCTCGGAACACGTTTGTTTTCCATTGAAACGGATAGTATTTGATCAAAACACACAGGACAACAACAAACCTCGTTTCCGAAATCAAGCCTCAAGCAACTTGCAATGCTGTTCAGCTCCGGTCAGAGGCCACGTGTGCGCACGGTCTGAAAGCGCCCCGTAGCGGTTTATTTACAAAGTACACCTCTCAAGACTGATGTGTTGTTATGGCCTCGCGTCTCTCTGTGTATGCTATTTACGATGCAAAATACAGGAATACCTCTTTATAAATATAATTAAGATTACAGCAATTGATACCAAACAAGTCATCAGACTTTAAAAGAAATAAGAGTTCGGCATAGACTAGCATTTGAGTTTTTGACCACACAGTAGCGCTCCTATAACGGCGGCTCGACTTACTGCAGCGTTGAAATCTGGAAGCAGTTGCCGACACTTTCCTTCGAAATTCTATGCTTTTGCTTCATTTTACTTCAAGGAGGTACATCTACATTAGTCCCTAGGGTATCTAAGACAATTTAAAGTACAGCTTACCAACAAAACGGACGTGGCTCGTCTTCCTGTGCGGAATTTTCAGCTATCCGTTCTTCTTCCCTTCCATGCGTGCACACTCGCCATGTTGGAACGGCGTGTTTCACGCACAGGTGCCAGCGGCCACCTGTTCATCACGAGTAAAATTTGAATTCGGTAATCAAGTCAACATTAGATCAACAACAGGCCAATAGACAATCACCACACATGAAGGCCTGAAAATTGTGATAATTATGTCGTTTTTCCTCAGGCAGAAGATTTTAATATTGGGGGCCAAATTACTTGAAATTCGTTGGTCCAAGCAGATATTATGGCGTGGATAGGTAATCTTCAAGCAGATACCGGGTGGCTTGGATATGCCATTTTCAAGCAGATACGGGGTGGCACGGACAGGTATTAAATCTTCAAGCAGATACAGGATGGTGTGGGTAGGCAATGTTCAAGCAACAGGGTGTTGTTCACTAATAGGCGATGGCCTCGTGTCTCTGTGTGCATGTTATTTACGATGCAAATTACAGGAACGCCTCATTATAATTAATATTACAGCAATTGATATCAAGCAAGTTTATAATCAAAGAAGAGTTCGGCAGAGACTATCATTGGACCACACAGTAGCGCTCCCAGCGGCTGCTCGACTCACTGCAGCGTTGAAATCTGGAAGCATTGCCGACACTTTCCTTCGAAATTCTATGCTTTTGCTTCATTTTATTTCAAAGGAGGTACATCTACAATAGTCCACAGGGTATCTGAGACAATGTAAAGTACAGCTTACCAACAAAACGGGCGTGGCGCGTCTTCCTGGGCGGAATTTTTACCCGCTCGTTCTTCCCTTCCATGCTGCTCACTCGCCATGTTGGACGGCGTGTTTCACACACAGGTGCCAGCTGCCACCTGTTCATCACGAGTATAATTTGAATTCGATAATCAAGTATAATTAGATTAACAACAGGCCAATAGACAATCACCACACATGGAGGCCTGAAAGTTATGATAATTATATCGTTTTCCCTCAGGTTTCTTCTTCTCCTGCCATTTCGATTAAAAAAAAAACTTAAATGGTTTCAACATCTTAATTTTGGGGCCAAATTTAATGCTTGAAATTTGCTGGTCCAAGCAGATACAGAGTGGCGTGCGTAGGTAATCTTCAAGCAGATACCGGGTGGCTTGGATATGCTATATCTTCAAGCAGATATAGGATGGCGTGGACAGGTATTAAATCTTCAAGCAGATACAGAATGGTGTGGGTAGGCAATGTTCAAGCAGATACAAGGTGTCATGGATCCTATGAAAAGTAGGAGCGAAAATTTGTACATGTAACATGACGGGATGATCCTTGAAAGCATCTGAAATTAGACATCTGCTTTTTCCCTTTTTTGGCAAAGATTTGACACAATTTGGGGTTAGTGCTGCACTGGAGCAGCCAGACTTTTGCGATTCAGCCCACCTCACAATTCAGCCCTTGGCTGCAAGGAGAGAGTAGCCGGTTCACCCAATAACAGTATTAAACCACAAGAGTTCCACGGCCTTCACCAAATGATGTTAACCTTTCTGATGAATGAAAATGTACATTTTCTAATTCTTTATGAAAATAACATCCTCATTTCAATTCAATCACGGATTATATCAGATGATCATATTATTCACCCAATGCCAGTCTTATCTTAATAAATTTAAAGAGTGTACATATATGCTGTACATGTCTGAAATTGTCAAAAGTGGCTGTGAACATTATGTGAACATAATTTTCCAGAGGTTTGCAATTTTTCTGCACAAATGTCCTTTGTTTCAAAAAGTCCTTCCTTTAGGGTTGTTCATTTACAAATGTATATATCTTCTACATATTTAGTTGGAGGCAAAATCTATGGTATGCAACTTTACATAGTTTTTTTTATGTAGGTAAGTTAATTTCTTAACTACGGACAATTACAGAAGACCACAAGGACACAATGGTCAGTCTTTGATACAATTTTAATCTCTGTCTAATCTGGTAAACCAGGACTTAATGGTGATAGTTTGCATTATCAATGTACATGTACATGTATGAGACAAATGTACCGAAAGAGGCAGATAAAAGTAATTTGCTGATATCCTGAAGACAGAAGCTAATATGGAATGAAAAAAAGAAAACACAAATACAGCTTTGTGCTTATGCTTTGAATAAACGGATGCTATACATGTATAATATCTTTGTTTCTACTCATACAAGCAGTTAAAAAGATACATCATAATCATTATGCCTTTTAAATTTCTGAGTCAACTTGAAATTTTATCTTTCACCATGTACATGTCATCTCAAGCTGCGTCAAGCCTTGATGACAACAGAATCGCTAATTTGTGACAAATTGGACTATGTTCCTGCACAGCAGTGACAATATATAAAAGATCTACCCCTGAGGCATTGCCAAAAAAAATGGTCACGTTGTTGCATGTGTTGTTGACTGGCTGGAACTTGTGTTCTCCGGTGTGTCCGAACCTTCCTTCACCTCGTTCCCATGTCCTTCCTCTTTCTCTCTCTCATTCTGTCCATCCTCACTAGTACTCTCCTCCTCCTCTACCTCCTCATTCTCTTCTTCCTTCTGTTCTCCGGATGTCCGTGTGACCCAGGGCGAGGCGGGAGTTCGGGTCAGGTTCAAGTTCTTGACCACGGACGACGCGGGCGCAACCAGGACCTTCCGCGACAGTCTCATCATCCCGGTGGCCGGGTCCCGCCCAAAGTACTTGACTGACATTTCTTGTCCGACGTCAAAACCAAGAGCAGACGGATGGCTTACCTGAGGACGTGGGAACAAAATGTTTTATCTTTATTTGCAAAATCATGCTCGAAGGCTAATTGCTTCATAGTCAAAGATTGTCACTGGTAGAGCCGAAAATGTCTATAAAATGTTAAACGGACAATAGACCCTTTTTGGACATTCTCAAAAATTCTGGACATTTTTCAAACATTTCTAAGAATGTCTGAACAGGGGCTTTATAGGGTCTTTTTGGGGAGGACTTGCTTGTTGTGTTTTCCATTGTTCTTGAGGTGTCTGTCAGAATGTCTTTAGAAAAAAAGTGTGAAAACTGACATGCATATGAAAAGCACTGCACAAAGCCAAGACAATTTATAGGGGAGGACACCATTAATTAATAGACAGATGCTAATGCTCATTGTGCTAAACAAAGGACTCTCTCCTAGGGGTGTCCCTACCTGATGTGTGAAGAGACTATGGATATAAAATGTCCACCTTGGGTTATTTTGATGTCGTTTCTCATTAACTATGTCTACTTAATGTTCTCCCGACTGGCCTTTGTTCAGCAATGTCTAAATCATGTCTATTGTCCGTTTAACAATTTATAGACATTTTTGGCTCTACCAGTGTGTACAATACAATAACAGGAAACTGACAGTAAACTACTGTCTGGAAAAGCTTTTATAAGCTACATTAGAATATAAATACTTCTACTACTTCTACTAGACTTAGGCTATATTATGAGGTTTAACTTCTTCTTTGAAGGCAGTGGATAATAAATTTTCCCACTTTCTACATAATGAGTGGGTTTTGTGATCTTATTAGAAACGTAGTCTTTTGGTGATCTTCTAAATGATGAAAGGATGGAGAAATTATGACAACTGTTTGTATCTCTGTGAATAATTTCATCAGGTTTGCAAGAGACTGTATGAGACAGTTCTTTACAGTCAGAAGAAATTGTTGCTCAAGCAATTAATTTATTCAGTTGGATAAATTTTGAACCACCAATATTGTCAAGACATGTTTAATGTTTGTGCCACAGTGCAACATGCTACTCATGTGCAGTTGAAACAGTATGAACCAACTTCTATCAGGATACGCACCCTTCTGTGGTCCAGTTGTGAGTTGTGTAACAGTGTGGGCTGCATGGTGGGGAACAGTTTCACCATCACACCACTCTCCCTGCAGGAATGGAGCAGTATCATCAGGCTACACCAATCTCAAGTATATGTACTGTACATGTTCACACCTGTATGTCACATACGTACATTGTACACACAAGTATATGAAGAAAAGTTGCCACAGTCACACTTGACAGGGCATGCATTTTAGATACGGAACAGGACTACTTTGTGAGGGGTGTGAAGGAGTTTACATCAGGGCCCATCAACCCACTATGAACTGCTACGGTGGGAGATTCCCGCCGCTTTTGATTCACTCCTGACGTCATCACGCTTCCGACTTCCAGAGAGTCAGTGAGTGCATCACACATCTGACGAAAGTTGACGGGTTTGACGGAAAACAAAGCATGAACTCTACAACAATTACTATGAATTCTACCAAAATGGATGAGCTTTTATTTGAATATAATTAGATAGCTTTACCTGATCTCTGTGATGGTAGCTGTGTAAATGGCACCAAAGTCCAGCTGTGGTTCTCTCTGGTAAAAAGGAAGAGTAAATTTCAACAATCATTCTTGGCCTTCACCATACAGGGCAAACTACAAAGGATATACAATCATGTAGTATGCTTCTGAACTTTATTCCATAATATTACTCAAGTGTACAATAACATCAAGTTTTCAACAACCACTGAAAATTTGAACCTTGGGTATCGTAAAGTTCAGCATTGTACTATGATTAATACCAACACAGACGAAGTACAGTTTAACAGTATTCAGAACCAGTATGAAATAGTCCTGACCTTGTCCTTCAGCAGTTCGTCGATCTGTTCCCGTGCCTCGTTCATGGCGGCAGTGTTTGGCGCAAACACCGAGAACGTTTCCTCGTCCACCTGTGTGATGCTCACTCCTGGTGTACGGGAACAAAACAATAAGAACCAAAAATATTGGAAACAGAGAAAAATGGCACCATGCTTCTCCACTTCATACAAGACCATACTGTTGCAATAAAAACTGGAGCTCTAACATGTCAGTTACATTTTTATGTTTACCTTTGCAGAAGGCAAATATTTTGTTTTTACACAATCATGTACTTGGTTTCTTTTTATTCCATTCCAAACAAATAAGGTGAATGACCTGGACCAGATGGCTGTCACCATGGTGACTGGTGCTGTATGTAGCAGACACCCTGACTGGTGTTGATGTGTTTGTGTAAGGTAAACGTCATGTATTTGCTTTGTAAATGTTACTTTTCTAGTTTCATCTAGTTAATCAACACAAAAATTTCAGGATGTCAGGGCTCAAAATGCCCACCTGCAACCTACAATCGGTAGACAAAAAAAAATACAATTTTGTACCACTAACACGCAATTTAGCAAGCTGTATCTTAGGTGTGTTAATGCATAATTATCAAGACATACACAATCATATTTTGATTGTTGACAGTAAAAGCACATTCTCATCCCATACTACATGTACATAGTGTTAGGATTACTGGTAGTCTTGTAGTATGTTTTTAAATCGTTATATAGCAATAAATGCCATACTTTCTTTATTGTAACTTGAACAATCATTGTCCAAAGTGCATGTACATGTATTTGAAACCCAAAATGTACATGAAAAGAAGTTGTGAGCAAGCTTCACCTGTCTCTGCTGTGATGTTCCTGATGTTGTACCCTCCAGGACCCACAAACTGGGCTCTCTTGGCCATGGGCACTTTCAGCTTTTCTGCAAGAAGATATAACGTCCTTGCATTTCATCTGCATGCGCATCAAAACATCTTAAAAGTTTTCAAATGTAAAAGTCCTTGACTACAGTGTTCTGACAAATTGTTGTATGTCACAAGAAGATATACTTGTATGCTCCAAAAAGACTCTGTACAGAGTACATGACATTGAACTTTATGGATTTAGTACTGGCTAGGATTCCAATTATGTATATATACATGTATACTATATGTTGTTATATTTTGTCTGACACTGACTTCTTCCCTCATGACTTCAATGAAAAGCAGCCAGCAAGTCAATTGAAGTTTTTCATGAGTAAACAAAGACTCCATAATGCAATAACAAACAGCAGTAAACAACTAGCTCACCAGATACCGGTCCGTACTCCTTCCTAGTGTTCCTGGGTTTGGCCAGCGTCCTGTTCATGATGTTAATGATGTCAGACTTGGCCATGGTGGCCTGCTGGGTGGCCTCCATTATAATCTTCAGCGGCAGGCCTGGTAACTTGATGTCAGCCTACAGGGACAAGGTGGTCTTGTGGTTAGGGTTGTATGTGTTGACTCAGAAACTGAAGGTTCTGGGTTCGAATCCCTGAATTGTTGCACCCTTTAGAAAGGCACTTTACACCTATTTCCTCACTTAACTCAGGTGCAAATGCAGAACATGTACCTAGTTTGATGTCACTGTTTTGATTCCTATTATTCCTGCAAGATGTTGAGTGTTTGGGAATTTAGACTCTTTACACAACTTTCCTCCCTCAATCCATCCAGGTGTAAAATGGGTACTACCTAACTTGGGCACGTAAAATTAGGAGGATGGGCTCTGCCTTCCAATACCGTACCCTAGACAGTGGATTAACAACACACTGCCCCTATGACCTGAAAAAGGCTGCAGGACTACCTTTACCTTTTACCAAATCATTCTAATATAGATGTACAATATTGTATGAGACATAAAGCTTGCCTACCCCACTCCCCACAAAGAGAAAAGTATGATGCTCACGTGCAGTGATACAGTTAGAACATCTCTCACCTGCAGAGCTGTTACTCCTTTCTTGGTTCCTGCCATCTTGAAGTCCATATCTCCCATGTAGTCTTCTATACCCTGAGAAACAAAAGCACCTAATAGTAAGTATCTTAGAATTTTCTATCAAGGCACAACATTGCTTTTCCATTGAATCCACATTATCTGAATTTTAGAAGTACTAATTGGACAACTTATTATAATTATGATTAACTGTGGGTGTTGATAAACGAAGATAATGAATGATGATTGAATTTTTTTACAATACCAGTATGTCTGTGAGTAGTTTGTAGTCCTGGATGTCTGTGGGGTTGTCAGGGTCAGTCCTGGTTACCAGACCTATGGCTACACCTGCTACAGGAGCAGAGATGGGCACCCCTGAAACAGATCAGTAACTTCATGTTATATTTACATCTGCTACAGGAACAGAGATGGGCACCCCTGAAACAGACATAATGATGTTATACAAAATTAATGTATATATACAGTACACCTGCCACCAACATGACAACAACCTACAATTCAGTGGACATGTATGTGTACACTCCATAGTTTGGACACTGCATATGGCAAACATGACCTAGCAATACTAGGAAACAAAAAAAATTGACTTAGAGGCTTAACACATAGTGTGTCCTATTCAGATATATCTTTTTATTAACAAGCAGAGACTTTCTAAGATACATGTACATGTAGCAGGCATCAATCTACAAGATAATTCAAACTAATAAGGATAGGACTCACCAGCATCCATAAGTGCCAGGCTGCCTGAACAAGCTGAGGCCATAGAGGAAGAACCTGTAAAAACACACAAAAACAAACAGCTTGAAATTCATGTCCATACATCTTGTGTACCAGATGTTAAAGAATTAAAGTTATGAATTTAACAAGCAGACTAATAAATTAAAATAACTCAGACCAACACTGTAACAAATTTCAGAGTCTACCAACACAAAATTTCCATATGCTGAGAGAATGAAAGTTGTATGTAGCCATAAAAGTCGATTAGCCAGTGATATAGTACAACTGTGCACACCCACCATTGGACTCCAGAACCTCTGCAGTCAGTCTTATAGTGAAGGGGAAGTCTGAGGGAACAACTGGCTTTAGGGCATTCTCTGCTAAAGCACCTGTACATGATACACATGGAAAGAACTGTTAGCTTCATACTAGTGACATATACATGTAGTTCTTCAACACAAAGGTAATGGAAATATTGTAAAGGACTGTGGAATCAAATATAGATTGTCTGACGGAACTGCACAAAAGTGTTACTGATTTGATGATACAGTGTATTACCCACCATGCCCCAATTCTCTTCTTGAGTTGGAGGACACCCGGCCTGTCTCATTAGTAGCGTAGGGGGGAAACTGAGAAAACAAGAGAAAGGTTAAAATTTACATAACTGCACATTCATTTGACCAAGTGATGAATACAAACATCAACAAGAAATTGAGGATTTCAAATTTTCATCACTTTTTGTTTTAAAAAATAATTATCGTTCTTGTGGTTGTATTATACATTGTATGTCATGCTACATGTACTTTTGAATTTCCAAGCACTTAGTAAACTATACTTACCACATAATGAAGCATGAAGTCCTTCTTTTTCAAACCACTGAAACAAAGATTTATAGTTAACATTTGTAAAAAAATGAACAGTAATAAGATGCAGGGCAGTCTGCTGTTAGATTTGGTACACATACACATGTACATGTACATGTATATCTTATGAGAATTGTGTTTGCAGACTTGTCCATTTACTAGATATTTCCTAATTCACAATAGTTGTAAACAGTTAGCATGTACATTATTTTTGTACATGTATCTAGAACAACTATAGATGCCTGCTGTGGTGAAATATGTGCTATATGCACAGAAGAATGAGAAATGTAAAAAAAAAATTCTCTGCCCCTGAAACATTGCAAAAAAACATGTTGGGTTTTCATCCCTTATACAGCTGCAAATTTGCCTGTAATAAACTGCACTTGCTAGGTGGTATGAAAACTTACCCAAGAATCTCAGTGATAGGATCCATTTTCAGTGAAGATTCCTTGGAGTCAAATGTCACTGTGGACAAAACCTGCAAACAAGACAGGACATGATCATGACTTTTAAGGGATGGGATGGAATTATGTAGTACTATGTAGTAATACTTACTTACCATACGATACCACTCATTACCAACAATAGTTCAAATATGGTTTATTCAAATGTAACTAATAGTATGTACATGTAACTTATGAGCCCCCTCATGGCTTCGAGATAGCAGCTCTTTTCTCATTCAAATGATACTTTGATTGGTCATTTTAAAGTCATGAACCAGGATGTGATACAATGTTCTTGAATGTTGTGTCAAAAAAGATAGAAACAGACAAAATTCTGATGCAACATCAACCAAATATTTAACAGAAACCATGGTTTTGCTCAGGCACGGTATAGATATATAAAATAATATGTTCTGCCGATGTACAGTACGGATCGCGGGATAAGCATCATCAGGATTCGGGATTTTGCGGGATATCCCGTAACAGTATGCAGGTTTAGACCTCTGACATACCTGTGTCTGTCCCCTCTGGAACAGTGCTGACCCGTGTAAGGGTTTGTACAGGTCCACATCACAGGAGATGTCCCTCAGGGAGGTCATATCACGCCCGTCACATCTGGGCAGAGAACATGAAAAGATAAGTACAAATTACAAAGTCCCATAGCCTTTCATAGAGGCAGTATGTTCATGCATTGTCTCTAGGCCACTGTCTCTATCACCCAATTCAAAACTCTTATACCTTTGGAATAACCTTGTTAGAATGCAATGTGCAGTTATGCATTTCTGACAAAGACTTTTGCTTATAGGTAAAAAGAGTTGTTCCCCCTTACGTGATGTGCAGTTATACATCTTCCATAAAGAGTTTTGCTATCTTTATGGTCAAAGTTGTTCTTCCTTAATACATGTAACAATGTGCAGTTTTACATGTCTGACACAGATGATTTGCTTTACATGTAGTTTGTTCCAAACTATAGGAACTTCTCAATAAACAGGTCCCAATGGAAGATTAAGGGGCATCTAGGCTACCTGGATTTAGAAATAGGCTGCACCAAACAAAATGTGGTTTTTGCAGCACAACTGGGCAACCTAGTATTTTGCACACTAGTACTGAAAAACACACCTTTGATACGTGTCCAGAATGAGGTTCCTGAAGACCTGTTTTGTGACCACACTGATGGCTTCATTGATCATGAAGGGTTCAGCCTCGGGAAACAACTCTGCAAAATGTACAACAACACAGTTAGCAAATGTGTTGAAGGATGTAGTAAAAAAATGTTTGTCACAATTCAGCATTTTTGTTACTGATAGTCGCCAATTATATGTTGATTGGAAACAAAAGTTTTCTATTACAAACAACAAGAGAGATTTTATCATTTTGGTTGGTTAAGTCATCATATTACACGGCTTGCCTACCCTTTAATTTTTCCTCCACCTCAGCCCGGATTTCTTGTACAGCATTGTCACGAGAAAACTGCAGGAATACAACACAAGTTTTCTCAATCCTAAATCCTATATACAGACAACAATTACTTTAGAATTACAGTAACAATTCCTGCCCAACAACCTACTGCTCTATTTATTCTTACTACTCAACCAAATCATAATATATGGTGACCAGCCCCTCCAACTCTGTCCTCACTTGCAGTGCTTAAAGTTTGTGGTGAAAACAATAATAGCCCAACACATCTTTGTGGTGTAACGATTTATGGGTGCAGAGGCACTGTGAAAATTGCGAAAACAAAGCTCGAAATATTTCAAGATATAGATGTATATTTGATACATTTACAATACAGAATATATCTGTATCAGACTACAGAAAAGTGTAACATTATACTAGTATGACACTGTTGTAAATATGGAAAAGAGCAAGCGTTACTTTACCTTATGATGTGAAGGATCTGTAAAAACAACTTGAAGTCTTTCTGTAGCAAGTCTGAGAAGGGAAAGTTTTGATTATCAATGACACCTTAAAGATACATTAACTTTGAATTGTAAGCAACACAAAA